TTATATTGTTCTCAAGGATGCGACCTTGTGACGAATGGGGTCGCCCTTGGTCCTTAGCGATATCTCTCCTGTGATGGGTCGCATGTCTCCACTTAGCAAAATTCAAGAATCTTATTGCGTGCAAGCAAAACAAGCCACCACGTACATATGTACGTGTATGTGTGTGCGATTTCCGCAAGCAGTTTAAGGGGTTAATTTGCCAAGCTTCGTTTCAAATTCACAAAAATAATTATAGAATCGGACGAAAGGGCGGAAGTGGTGTAGTGGCAAGTGGCACGCTTACCACGCGAGCGGTCCGGGGATCAAATCCTGGGTCGTGAGTCGCCCGGGCCAACCAAGCCTTCCATCCCTCCGGGGTCGGTTAATTGGTACCAGACTTGTCTGGGAGGATAAAAACACTGACTTGTACATCGGCTGGCCCCCGCAAGTCATTGTATAGGCCACATCGCATTCAAACGCCACTACGAATGTACAAATGGAAGTAGAATGCGTGCCGCATCCCAAAAAGGGATTGATCAACGGCAAATGCTTTCCTGCAATAGAACGGAGAAGCAGATTTCGAGAAACATGTGTGTTGGTCTCAACTTGACATTCGCCACTCCGGTCGCGTGGATCCGTACGCAGCGCAAAATTATCAACTATCAACGGGCTTGAGAGTGTGAAAAGGATTTGCGATCAGGGTGAATAACGGTCGAGGAATTCCTCGACCATGGCTCTGTACTGTGCGAGAGTAGTGCCGAGAGTGAACGTACGCGCGGAGAGCACAGACGGCTCGCGCATGGCGAGTGTGAATGTCCGCGCGGGAGAACGTAACTGATCAGGCGAAAATCCTCGACGTGCCGTTGAGGAATCCTCGACCGATATTCACCCTGGTTGCGATCATTATAACGAGGATGCTCACTCAAGCGAGGGATTACGATAAGATTGGACTGGGTTCATAGTGGAAGAGATGCTGAATAATGCCCCAGTGGCGAAAAAAGCAAAGAAATCCGTCAAGAAGGCGCAAAATGGGACCCCTTTCTTTGCCCGTTGACCTCCGATAATGGACGAGCTAGCAACCAACTAAGAGGTTTTTGCACATGTTAAACCGATAGCACCGTCCTGCATAAACGCCACGTTTTAATTTGAACACTCCACATAAAGTTATGGGGTACTGCATCTCGAAATGGAACACCTTTTCAAAATGATAATCCAAGGATGCTGCTGCTGGGAGGCGGAGCACAGGGCGAGGCGGAGCTCAGAAAGGATGGCAAGCCTCAGTGCGCTGCAACTAGCGCACCTTTAGGCCACGAAAAAGCGGCATCGCGCTTCCTCAGGCCCCTGGCTACTTAATTCACCGGCATGTTCGTCTATGCTGCACACACACTATCGTAATCCCTCGCTTCAAAGGGATGACTTGTTAGGCCTAGGAAGGGACTCGAACCCTCACCCTTAATTCTATATTTAAAATTTTTGACTTCGAGTGGATCGCAATCCATTCAGTCGAAAATTTTCTCAAAAGCTCAGAATTTTTTGACATTCACATCGCAAATAGCCGCGTAGAACAGGATTTAGCGGCACAAGAGAATGAAGTTATCTTCTTTCTACTGCTTTCTTTAAGAATATTTTTCAACTTGAATAAAACCACTATTGCTTGGCTTCAAAGCTGTGCGAAGAAAGCAAAAACACTGCTCAGTCAAAAGTTCAACCATCCAATGCTCGTTAATTGCAGTTTAAAATCAGCCTTGATGTCTAGCACAAAGGATTCGACTACGGGAGTCGAGCTGACACGATACCGGTCGAACTCCACAGAGGCAAGCTTTCCCTTCCTTCAAATTTTCAGTGTGAAAAATTGCTGGCATTTTTAGGGAAATGAGCCGTTGAGCGAAACAATGACAGACAGAGACTTGGTAGAAATATTCTTGTCTAAAGGAGGAGAAGGACGCGGTATGAAAAAGGTTTTCGATGATCTGTAAGTGTCAAGTTTTCCGAAAGCGATTGGATTCTTGTTATTGCCTCTCTCAAAGAAAAACCATTCAATTTCATACCAAGTAGAAATGGACTTCATAGATCTGATTTTTCGCAAAGAAACTCGCTACGAGCGCACTTATTGGTTATTTCATACAGAGTTATGAAAACATAAGCGGAGAATTTGATTTGAAGTGGAACAGAATTTCATAGCCAGCGCTCGCTTCTCCTGTTGGCTTCCTTGACACAACCCTTTCCTCTCTCCTTACCACCTCGAGGTACTTTAAGAATGGACAGCCACACACTCAGGCTGACGGAACGGCATACCGACAACTACATTGGGATATCGACAAATATGTAAACGCGGAAACTAGACATGCTTTATGTTGTAGGGAGAGTACAAGTGTTCAACTGCATTTTATGCTTCTCAAACAAATCCCAGGGAGGTACTCGACCACACAATCTGATTGCATCCGTTTCAACCTGAGGTACTCGACGGGAGGCCCTTCGCGCGGCAAAAGGTAGAGTCAGCGGACGAGTCGCAGCGCATACTGTAGTGATTTCGCGTTATAAATAGAATGTCCCATGCACGTCCTACATCGCACATCACGCGCTGCGACTCGTCCGCTGACTCTACCTTCTTGCCGCGCGAAGGGTCCCCGTCGGGTACCTGTTTTACATGTTCCACTTGTCTTTCGACTGGTACTCGAATTCTTCAACTGGGTAGTACCATACATTTCTAGGAGTTGCCAGAGTACTCCAAA